GTAAGATTATGTTTAGCTTTTTAAGAAATTGCCAAACCGTTTTCCAAAGCAGATGGACCATTTTATATTCTCAGTTTCTCTACACCCTCACCAACATTTGGTAAAGTCGGCCCCTTTTATTATATCCAGGAAATCATTGTTGGCAGTAGAAAATGGAGCCTCTGTGAACCTTACGTTTGAAGAAAGGGATGGTATTGCCTCTCTGTCTTACAGGATTGCTTTAAAGTTCACAGGGGGATAGGAATTTATGCACAAATGCTTTATATTGCAAAAACGTTTCTGGTGATTATGTACAGAAACGTGTTCAGCCATTATGTTAACACTCACATATTTGTCTCAGAGATTAACACGCAAACTTCTCCAATTTTTAATAAAATGTGTATGTTATGTTCAAACTTGTTCCACCTGCTAATAAAGGCAGTTTTTAATCAAATTGTGAGCCTTTTCCTTATGCGAGGTTGCCTATATTGTGTATTAAATTATCAGCCTTATTTAGCAATGACTGAATGTAATAGTTTGCATATGGTGGGCAAATTTTTCTTTCCCGCTCCAACTTAGATGGTCTGGACACTTCAAATGTCTGCCTGTGACTTCGTTTTCAAGTGCTTGTGGGTGGCCTCTTTTGGACCTGGGCACATGTGTTCTAATAGAGCAGAAGTAGAAAGATTGGGGTCTCAGAGAAAGCACCAGGAACAATCTATGTACAAAATACCTATTTCAGCGGTTTAACTTTGCAATTCCGATTCTATGAAAATTGCCAGTTAATTCTTTTTCAAAGAACAAAGGGGGTGTTTTGAATGCATTTTGCTTCCCATGTGTGGAAGACAGCTGTTTGTGATAGACCTAGGAAAACTGGCCAATGGGCTGTGGATTTGAAATCTGGGCTGGATTTTGTAAAAGTTGCTTATCAGCAGTTCTTCACACCTGTTGGAAAAGACCTTTGGACTACAGGAGCTGAACTGTGTGTTTGATCATAAAGTACTGTGTCAACAAAGGGCTTTGTAGTACTTTAAAACGAAAGGGTAAAGAGAGCCACAGTGAGATACTAAGTCAAACTGCACGCTTTAGTGAAAAAAATACCTTCTGGGTGGCCTGTGGAAGCCAAAAGATACATATTAATCCTGCCGACCATTTATATTCATTTGATACTGTTGCACAATCTCAATTTCATTCTTACTAAATAGACAATTTTAATTGGGAAACAGGTGTGTGAAATCCTTTTTAACGAAAACAGTGCCAGTGATGGTCACAACACACAGAAAGGTTTGGACTAGGGGTTCTGGGATGGAGCTACACTGGGAGTTTTTATTTCCTGATTTTAACCTAATGAGTAAAAGTTCTTGCCTTATATAACTTTGAACATTTTCATTGCTGCGAGCATGGGCGTGCGTGTGTGTTGGGAGGTGTATATTTAAAAGCTTTCAAATATTGCAGTCCCTGACATGTGAATTAAAGAGAGGCTGAAAAAAGTCATCAGGCACTTGGAATCTTTTTCTAGAATGTTATAAGTAATGCAGTTTGGGTACGGAGGGATATTTGAGAGACCAGCCTCTTGGCAGATGCCTGAAGTCCGTGTTCTCTTGGGAAGCAGCTGTTTGCTAATAAAGAAATCAGGACTGACAGGCAGTTGTGAAGTCTCATTCTTCATGTGTGTTATCAGTGTCTCAGCCTGAAGCAAGGGTAGGGGGACGTGAGGGACTTGTGTGCAAATGGGTACTGACCCCTGTTGGTGCTGTGTGTTCTTTAAATAGGCAGGTCTCAGGATTTATATAGGAGCACTTAATATTCATTTTTGATGCTATCTGCCATCTTTATAGCAGAGGATTTAAACTCCTCTTCAGGGCGTCTTTAAAGAACTGTGAATGGAGTGAACAACTTAAAACCTCCTTAGTATGTACCAGGGAAATGAGTGCATATGGGGAGGGTCTCTTACAGATAAGGTCGCAATAGGGGATACTAGGAGAGTCACAGAACTCTCAGGGGGACTGTGTGAGTTGGTCAATGGGGAAAGGAGTTTGTTCCATTTCAATATTGGGATCTCCAGCCACTGTGATTTTAGAAATGCTTGTAGAACCTACGTCTGGGGATTCTAGCTGGCCCGCCCGAAATTCATTCATCAAACTCAAGAGTGACTTAACTATGGATTCTGAGTAACAGTTAACGTTTTCGGTCCTGGTTTGTGGATTTTATTTATTTATTTTCTATTTTTTTGAGATACAGTTTACTCTGGCGCCCAGGGTGGAACGTAGTGGCACAATCTCAAGTCAGTGTAACCTCTGCATCTGAATTTCAAGCATTTCTCCTGCCTCAGCCTCCTGAGAAGCTGGGATTACAGGCATGCGCCACCATGTCTGGCTAATTTTTGTACTTTTTTGGTAGACACGGGGTTTTACCATGTTGGCCAGGTTGGTCTCAAACTCCTGACCTCAAGTGATCCACCCATCTCAGCCTTCCAAAGTGCTGGGATTACGTGAGCCACCACGTCCGTCCTCCGGCTTGTGGATTTTAAACAGTGTCATCACGGGCACTGAGGGAATGGAGTAACCTTTACGTCAGATTTTGTGTTCTTAAATGTTCCTTTCTAGGAAGATGAGAACAAATAGTTATCTGTGATAACAGGCCATTTAAGGCAACTCTGTATTGTTAGATTTTAATTGCTGATTAATGAATGCATTTGATTTATTTATGCATTATTTTCAGGAGACAAGTAGAGTCAGTGTGATGTGTGGGAAGAGCATGGGATTAGGAATTTGGAGAGACCTGACTTGGTCACTAGCTGTGTGGCACTGGGCAAAGTCTTAAGCTCCAAGCTGCACTTACCTCTTGGAATTGAAAGGATTCCTATTTTACGGAAGGTTAATATTCAATGTAATGTCACTGAGGCTCCTTAGTACATGACCCTGATAGTACATGACCCTGATATAGCGGGGGCACTCTGTTACTGGAGGTGACTATGTTTGCTATTGATTGGCACCATTTAAAGTAACATAAAATGTTGAGTTTACTGGTGTGTCATTTATCCCCTGCCAATTCTATGTTAAAAGAGCAGTACTAGCTCCTTCAGCTGGAAGTGGAACATACCATAACCAGTATATTTCAAAGATTTAACAAAACAGAAATAAATGAAATGTAGAAAATTCGAGAAAAGGAGTTGTTCAATTAAAGTGCTATTTTAGGAAGGGGGGGAGGGACAAAAAAGTGTTATGTCAAGTGATAATTTTGTTCTATTTGCACGTGAATACATTGATTCATAGAATGTGCTTGGTGTCATTTTTGTTGGAAATGAAATTTTTGAGCAGAGTAGAGAAAGTTTAATGAGATACTGAAGCTCAGTGTTGCATTCCATCATATGGGTATACATCATAAAGGTAATTCTTTCTTTTTTTTTCTTTTTTAAAAATTTCAGTGGTTTTGGGGGAACAGATGGTGTTTAGTTACATGAATATGTTATTCAGTGGTGATTTCTGAGATTTTGGTGCACCCATCACCTGAACAGTGTCCACTGTACCTGTTGTGTCGTCTTTTATCCTTCTCCGCCCTCCCACCCTTCTCCCTGAGTCCCCAGAGTCCATCGTGTCATTCTTATGACTTTGCATCCTCATAGCTTAGCTCCCACTTATAAGCCAGAACATATGATGATTGGTTTTCCATTCCTGAGTGACTTCACTAGAATAACGGTCTCCAGTTCCATCCACGTTGTGAATGTCATTATTTCTTTTTTTTTTTTTTTTTTTTTTTGAGATGGAGTCTCGCTCTGTATCCCAGGCTGGAGTGCCGTGGCTGGATCTCAGCTCCCTGCAAGCTCCGCCTCCCGGGTTCACGCCATTCTCCTGCCTCAGCCTCCCGAGTAGCTGGGGCTACAGGCGCCTGCCACCTCGCCCGGCTAGTTTTTTGTATTTTTTAGTAGAGACGGGGTTTCACTGTGTTAGCCATGATGGTCTCGATCTCCTGACCTCGTGATCCGCCCGCCTCGGCCTCCCAAAGTGCTGGGATTACAGGCTTGAGCCACCGCGCCCGGCCAAATGTCATTATTTCATTCCTTTTTATGGCTGAGTAGCATTCATGAACGTAATTCTTTGAATGACCGGGGAACACCCACTAATTCCTCCAAACTTTATCACTTGAGTTTGAAAAACGGTTTCATGTGATGAAATCAAAGGACGATGAAATTGAGCCTTAAAAAAGCTCAATGTGATATTTCATTTGTCCAGTGGGCAAATAAGTAAGTGGAAATGAGATCAATGCCAAAAAATGTGCCCAAGACTTAAAAGGTAGGATCTGGAAGTTGCCGTCTTTTAAGATACAGTCCTGAACTTTGAAGTTCATTAGGTGTCTCATGTAATCCTAACAACATTTGTGCTGGTGGACTGAGTTCTGATACATATTAGAAACTTCAGTTCCTTTTTTGGAGAGTCCAGTTTGCACATGGATTTTGGTATAAGTAGGAGTCAAGGGAGTGGTCTAATGTCCTCCAGGTGCGCAGGTGTGTCGGACTTTGACCTAAGAGGATGGGAGCCATTAGTTTCTGAAGAGTTCTCAAAGAGGGTGAAGGCTTGTTGTGACCTAGTTAAACTTTTGGTTTCTGGAGCCCAACTGCCTGTCAAATACTCACTCAGTCTTTGTGATGCTGGGCAAGTTTCTTTACCTCTAGGCCTCTGGTTCTTCCTCTGTAAGATGAGAATGATCATAGTGTCTGCCTCATCATCTCAAATGAAGTAATCCACGTAAATCAGTTGCATGGTGAGAACACAGGGGCTAGCTGCTATTTTCTTAGTCCCTCTTTGCCTTCTCTGTCTGGTGGGACTCTCAGTCACACTTGTGGATAGTAAAGCCTGTGGATGATGCTTCCTGAAGATGTGTTCTTTGCTTGAGAAAGACGTTTACTTTTCAAAAAGATTTTTTTTTTAAAGGAATATAGGAGTTATGGTAATTTCGACAGTAGAGTTTCGCCACAAAATGCAATCCAAACTCAGTTCAGTCTTGTTTTGTTTTGTTTACAGGGAACACGGGTCTGGCTGAGAGAAAATGGCCAGCATTTTCCAAGTACTGTAAATTCCTGTGCAGAAGGCGTCGTCGTCTTCCGGACAGACTATGGTCAGGTGAGAGCAAGTCCCTGCAGCTTCCCAACATCAGTGGTCTGCTCTGTAGCTATTCTTGCCCAGGGCATGTGTGCTTGGCCCCGCTACACATACACACGCTTTAAATTCTTTTCCTAAGTGATAATTCAAAATTCCAGTGGGAATGTAGAATGTACACCGTGTGTGTGTGTGATAGATACAATACAGTTCTCTCAAATGGAACACAGCAAATATTCCAACCAGTGTGGGGACAGAAGGGCATGGCACTTGGCCTGGTTTCCCTCCTGGGTATCTTTTCTGCGTTCTTTCATCTTTTTCAGCAATCAGAAGTATAGGATGCAAGTAATTTGAGCAAAAGTTCAAGTATATTGATATTTGCCGACTGATTAACTTGTTACTTGCTCTTAAAATTCTTAAACTTCCATAGTGTGTTAGTCAGTTTGGGCTGCCCTGACAGAGTACCACAGACTGAGTGATTCATGAAGAGCAAATATCCATGTGTCACAGTTTTGGAGCCTGAGAAGTCCAAGGCCGTCAAGATGCTAGCAGTTCTGTGTCTTGTGAGGTCTCTGCTCACTGGTTCACAGCCAGCCAGCTTCCTGCTGGGCCTCACATCATAGAAGGGGGAGTTCTCTTGGCGCTCTTTTATAAGGGTGCTAATCCTATTCATGAAGGCTGCATCTTCATGACCTAGTCACCTGCCAAAGACCCTAACACCATTTCATGGGAGATGAGGATTTCAACATATTAATTTTGAGGGAGAATACAAACATTCAGTTCAGGCCGGGTACAGTGGCTCACGCCTGTAATCCCAGCACTTTGGGAGGCCGAGTCAGATGGATCACTTGAGGTCATGAGTTCAAGACCAGCCTGGCCAACATGGTGAAACCCCGTCTCTACTAAAAATACAAAAATTAGCCGGCTGTGGTGGCAGGCGCCTGTAATCCCAGCTAATTGGTAGGCTGAGGTGGAAGAATTGCTTCGACCTGCGAGGTGGAGGTTGCAGTGAGCTGAGATTGCGCCACTGCACTCAGGCCTGGGTGACAGAGCGAGACTCCGTCTGAGAAAACAAACCATTCAGTTAATCACAAAGAGAATGTTGAAAATACTAGGATCCCACCGAGAATTTAGGGTAATGTTGTACTGATCACTGTAAGAACAAGACTGACTAAATTACTGAAACTGAGCCTATTAATCCACCTTATTAAGCAACTGAAGAAGTTTCTTCTGTTTGTAGGAGCGCCAGTATTCCTGATTTTGTTTCTTTAGCGTAAAATGAGTGAAAAACCATATCACTCAAATTAAATATGTGAATCCAGAAACTGGTTTGCTTGATTATATTTCGATGATTGTAAGAGAAACCTGGCATCTCCATTTTACTAGGGAAACTAATGTTATAAATTGGCCTGTACCTCAGAGGTGCGTATTAAAATTTAAGACTTAAGGAAATAAAAGATAGTCAAATGCAACGATCTAAAACATAGAGCTTATGTTTTTATTTTTATTTAATTTTTTATTTTCTGAGATGTAGTCTTGCTCTGTTGCCCAGCCTGGAGTGCAGTGGTACCATCTTGGCTCACTGCAACCTTCGCCCCCAGGGTTCAAGTGAGTCTCCTGCCTCAGCCTCCTGAGGAGCTGAGATTCCAGGCGCCCACCACCACACCCGACTAATTTTTGTATTTTTAGTGGAGATGGGGTTTCATCATGTTGGCTAGGCTGGTCTCGAACTCCTGACCTCGAGTGATCTGCCCACCTAGGCCTCCCAAAGTGCTGGGATTACAGGCGTAAGCCACCATCCCTGGCCAAAAACACATAGTTTATGAATTGAGTTTGCAAGTTGTTGTATTGAGAATAAAAGCTTCAGGGCCAGTTTCCATAATTTGAGACAGACGGGCTACTTGGTTATCAAAACTTCTTAGCAGGGGCGGTCTACTTGGTGGAACCGTTCTTAATTCTTGATTTGATAAGCTGTAGTAATACTGTGTTTGTAACTCCTTCATTTCTTTTTCTTCTGAGAGTCTTGAATGGATTTTCAGTATATAGATATATCTGTGCTTTGTTAATGTAGATTTGGGGGTATGGGGAGAAAGGGGGAACAAAGAGGCAACATGTCTAAGGTCACTGACAGTGTGGACACTTCACCAACACGCAGTCTAGTTCCTTCTCCATTAGAGTCTCAGGTAGTATAGTATGATCTGTTGTCTAAGGAGTAAATAAGTGAATTTTGCTCAACTTTAGGGTCAGGCACTGATTAAATGTTTTAAGTTTCCCTGTAGGATAGGACTGGCCGCATTTTTCTGTCACTCTGCCTGTCTTCCCATCTCACTTTCCCCAGATGAGAATTTGGTTTCTTTCAGGACCTGTACATGCTTCTCAAGATGATGTGAAAAGGGAAAACAATATCTAAACAGTGTCATTCATTTAACAAAACTGTGTTCCTGAAAGTGTTGTAAAATAGGTTTTTCATGGCACCTGATAAGGTTTGACTGTGTCCCCACCCAAATCTCAACTTGAATTGTATCTCCCAGAAATCCCATATGTTGTGGAAAGGACCCAGGGGGAGGTAATTGAATCATGGGGGCTAGTCTTTCCCATGCTATTCTTGTGATAGCAAGTAAATCTCATGAGATCTGATGGGTTTATCAGGGGTTTCCGCTTTTGCTTCTTCCTCATTTGCCGCCTCCATGTAAGAAGTGCCTTTTGCCTCCCGCCATGATTCTGACGCCTCCTGAGCCATGTGGAACTATAAGTCCAACTAAACGTCATTTTCTTCCCAGTTGTGAACATGGACTAATACAGTAAATTCGTACCAAGCGTGGAGCCTTGCTGGACAGATACCTGAAAACGTGGAAGCAACTTTGGAACTGGGTAACAAGCAGAGGTTGGAACAATTTGGAGGGCTCAGAAGAAGACAGAAAAATGTGTGAAAGTTTTGAACTTCCTCAAGACCTGTTAAATAGCATTGACAGAAATACTGATAATAATATGGACAATGAAATCCAGGCTGAGGTGGTCTCAGATGGAGATGAGGAGCTTGTTGGGAACTGGAGCAAAGGTGACTCTTGTTATGTTTTAGCAAAGAGACTGTTGGCATTTTGCCCCTGCCCTAGAGATTTCTGAAACTTTAAACTTCAGAGAGATGATTTAGGGTATCTGGTGGAAGAAATTTCTAAGCAGCAAAGCATTCAAGAGTTGACTTGGGGGCTATTAAAGGCATTCAGTTTTATAAGGGAAGCAGAGCATAACAGTTTGGCAAATTTGCAGCCTGACTATGTGATAGAAAAGAAAACCCCTTTAGGCCGGGTGCGGTGGCTCACACCTGTAATCCTAGCATTTTGGGGTTTTCTTTTTCTTTTTTCTTTTTTCTTTTTTTTTGAGATGGAGTCTCGCTTTGTCGCCCAGGCTGGAGTGCAGTGGCGTGATCTTGGCTCACTGCAAGCTCCGCCTCCCAGGTTCACGCCATTCTCCTGCCTCAGCCTCCCAAGTAGCTGGGACTAAGGCGCCTGCCACCATGCCCGGTTGTTTTTTGTTTTTTTAGTAGAGACGAAGTTTCACGTGTTAGCCAGGATGGTCTCGATCTCCTGACCTCGTGATCCACCTGCCTTGGCCTCCATAAATGCTGGGATTACAGGCGTGAGCCACTGCGCCTGGCCAAAAATCCCATTTTCTGGGGAGAAATTCAAGCTGGCTGCAGAAATTTGCGTAAGTAGCAAGGAGTCTAATGTTAATCCCTAAGACCATGGGGAAAATGTCTCTAGGCCATGTCAGAGACCTTCACAGCAGCCCCCTCCATCACAGTCCCAGAGACCTAGGAGGAAAAAACGGTTTCATGGTCTGGGCCCAGGTTCCTGTGCTGTGTGTAGCCTAGAGACGTGGTGTCCTGTCTCCCAGCCACTCCACGCTCCAGCCATGTCTGAAAGGGGCCAATGTTGTACGACTCAGGTTGTGGCTTCAGAGGGTGGAATCCCTAAGCCTTGGCAGCTTCCACGTGTTGTTGAGTCTGCAGGTGCACAGAAGAATTGAGGTTTGGGAACCTCTGCCTAGATTTCAGAAGATGTGTGGAAATGCTTGAATGCCCAGGCAGAAGTTTGCTGCAGGGGCGGGGCCGTTATGGAGAACCTTTGCTAGGGCAGTGTGGAAGGGAGATGTGGGTCGGAGCCCCCACACAGAGTTGCTACTGGGGTACCGCCTAGTGGAGCTGTGAGAAGAAGGCCACCATCCTCCAGACTGCAGAATGGTGGATCCACTGACAGCTTGTACTGTGCACCTGGAAAAGCTGCAGACAGCACCAGTCCGTGAAAGCAGTTGGGAGAGAGGCAGTACCCTGCAAAGCAACAGGGGTGGAGCTGCCCAAGACCATGGGAACCCACTTCTTGCATCATTGTGACCTGGATATGAGGCTTGGAATCAAAGGAGATAATTTTGGAGCTTTAAAATTTGACTGCCCCACTGGATTTCAGACTTGCATGGGCCCTGTGACCTCTTTGTTTTGACCAATTTCTCCTATTTGGAATGACTGTATTTACCCAATACCTGTACTCGCATTGTATATAGGAAGTAACTAGCTTGCTTTTGAATATTCAAGCTTATAGACAGAAGGGACTTGCCTTGTCTCAGATGAGACTTTGGACTGTGGACTTTTGGGTTAATGCTGAAATGAGTTAAGACTTTGGGGGACTGTTGGGAAGGCATGATTGGTTTTGAAATGTGAGGACATAAGATTTGGAGGGGCCAGGGGCAAAATGATATGATTTGGCTGTGTCCCCACCTAAATCTCAACTTGAATTGTATTTCCCAGAATTCTCATATGTATGTTGTGGGAGGGACCCAGAGGGGAGGTAATTGAATCACGGGGGCCAGTGTTTCCTGTGCTAGTCTCGTGATAGTGAATAAGTCTCACGAGATCTAACGAGTTTATCAGGGGTTTCTGCTTTTGCTTCTTCCTCATTTTCTCTTGTTGCCACCATGTAAGAAGTGCCTTCCGCTTCCTGCCATGATTCTGAGGCCTCCCCAGCCATGTG